GACTTGGTTGTGTATTTTTCAGCATTTGTGTGTGTTCTTAAGAAACTGTCAGTGTTGTAGAGACAAGCAAACATTTTGGGGTCTTTGTATGTATTGTGTGGATAGTCTTGTCTAGTTGTTATGGGACAAATCAGACTATTACAGGTCAAGTCTGGCTACTGCAGTGTAACTCTGGTGACAAGGGGCAATTAGGGTTAGGTGGGGGTAGATCCTGATGCCATGTGTTAGTCTGAGTGTCTCAGGGTGAATCTGTATCAGTGTGTTGCAGTGAGATTGTGTGATGTGAAGTGACTTTGGGTGTTGTAGGGCATGTCTATGCATCGTGGGGTTTTATGCATGTTTTGCTCAGCATTTCTGTGTGCTCTCAGCTAAATGTTGGTGTTATGAAATCAAAAACCTGTTTTTCAGAACCAGTCTTCGTTGTCTGGAAATTCTATATATTATGGGACATGTCCATGTATTTTGAGGAAGTCCTGGGTGTCATGAGGTAAGTTCACTTGTCCCCAAAATACATGGACATGTCCCGTACTACATATAATGTTGTGATTCTGTGTGGCTTGGATAAGTCAGCATGTGTTACAACAAGCCTTCTTATTGTGAATCATATCTGTAAGTTATAGGAAGTATCTGTAAATTATAGGAAGTGTTGTAAAGCAAGAAAGTGTCTTGTGGGATCAGTTGTTATGTTGTAGGAAGGGTTTATATATGTGGGGTTATGTCCATATACTGTGGCTCCTATTAGGGTGTTCTGGAGCTAGTCTGGGTTGTGGGTGGGCGCATTCTAGGTGTGACATGATGAATCTCTATGTTTCAGATGCGTCTTGGAGTTATAGGAGAAGGCTAGTTGAAGTGGGATATATCTATGCCTTGTTGAGTCTATGTGTATTTTCGAGCATTTCTTCTGATATTAAGCTAAGTTTTGAAAAGACAAGGAAGTGTTTTATGGATGTTTGTGCGTTAAAAGTAGAGTCTGGTTATTTCCATGTGTTGTAAGGCATGTCCATGCCTTGTGGTTTTATCCATGCATTGTGAAACATATCCATGGATTGGCAGACTAATCTGGGAGATGAGTCTTTATGATGTAAAATGGATCTGGGTGTTTCCGGGCAAGTCTAGGTCTTGTCCAGGAAGCCTATGTGTTGCAGAACATAGCTGCACATTGTGTTTCTCTGTGTGAGGACCATATTTGTGGGATGCATTGCTGTGAGGGAAGTTGTGGCAGGAAGAGGCTATTTTGTGTGGCTAGTCTGTGTGTTAAAAAGAGAGACTGGCCAGGTGAAGTGGCTCATGCTGATAATCCCAGCACTTTCAGAGGCCAAGGTGGGTGGATCACGACATCAGGAGATTGAGACAATCCTGGCCAACATGGTGAAACCCTGTCTCTACTAAAAATATAAAAATTAGCTGGGGGTGATGTTGTGTGCCTATAATCCCAGCTACTCGGGAGGCTGAGGCATGAGAATCACTTGAACTCAGGAGACAGAAGTTGCAGTGAGCACTGCATTCTAGCCTGGTGACAGAGTGAGATTTCATCACCCTCTCCTCAAAAAAAAAAAAAAAAAAAAAGACAGAGAGAGAGACTGAGGCTGGGCATGGTGGCTCATGCCTGTAATCCCAGCACTTTGGGAGACTAAGGCGGGTTGATCACCTAAGCCAGATCAAGAGTTCAAAACCAGCCTGGCCAATATGGTGAAACCTGGTCCCTACTAAAAGTACCAAAATTAGCTGAGTGTGGTGGCGCATGCCTGTAGTCCCACCTACTGGGGAGGTTGAGGCAGGAGAATCGCTTGAACCTGGGAGGTAGAGGTTGTGGTGAGCCGAGATTGTGCCACTGCACTCCAGCCAAGGTAGTGACAGACAGAGACTTCATCTCAAAAAAAAAAAAAAAAAAAGAGACACTGTTTATGGGGTATTGCCATGTATTTTGAGGCAATTGTCTGGTGACTGTGAGTCAAGTCTGGGTGATATGGGGTATGTCTAAGTGTTGTACAGCAAGTCTGTGTGTTATGAAATATATATGCACATTTTGAAATATTTTAATTTGTGTTGTCCAACAGGTTTGTATTTTATGGAGCAAATCTTAGTGTCGTATAGGCAAGACAGTATTTTGCTGGACCAGTATTTATGTCATGGGGATAATGTATGTGTCATGTCCTGGTTTCTTGTCTGTTAATTGTAGTCAAGTTTATGTGGTGCAATGCCATCCTGCATATTGGAGAAGGCTATGGTTTGTGGATTGTTTCTAGAGATTTTAAATTGAGTTATTTGTGTTGTGGAGCCAATGTGATGTCCTGGGGTGAGTATGTGTATTGTAGAGCACATATGTGTGTATGATAGGGTGCATTTGGTTACACTGAGATGAGCCTTTGCATAAATGAGTTTCTGTTTCATCGATATGTTGTGCATTGTAGTGTGTCTAGGTGTTGTGTGATAAGTCTAGGTGTTATGCAGAGACCTATATGATAGATGCTTCTCGGCATTGTAGAATAGGTGCAGTCAGGGTGGGTGTGGTGGCTCAAGCCTGTAATCCCAGCACTTTGGGAGGCTGATGCAGGTATATTACCTGAGGCAGGAGTTCAAGACTAGCCTGGCTTACATGGCGAAACCCCGTCTCTACTAAAAATACAAAAATTAGCTGGGTATGGTAGGGGGTGCCTGTAATCCCAGCTACTCACGAGGTTGAGGCAGGAGAATTGCTTGAACCCGAGAGGCGGAGGTCGCAGTGAGCTGAGATCACACCACTGCACTCCACCTGGGAGGTGGAGGTTGCAGTGAGCTGAGATGGCACCACTGCACTCCACCATGGGCAACAAGAGCGAGACTCTGTCTCAAAAAAAGAAAAAAAATAGGTGCCGTCAATACAGGTGTTATAGGAAAAGAGTGGTGAAAGTATTCATTGTGATGTGAAGCTGTGCATTATGAGGGATATTCTATGCGTTGTGGGTTGATTCTAGTTGCTTTAGATTGAGTCTTACTTACCTTTATGGTCCATTTCCACGTGGAGTAATGACAACAATGACAACCTGATCAGCTAACATCAATAACACTACCAAGCATTGTTCTAAACACTAACTCTTTACCAAGCATTGTTCTAAACACTTTGTAGGCAGTAACTTATTTATTCTTCTTAACAGCCATAAGAGATAGGTACCACTATTTACAATATTATTCCTAATAAATAGCTGAGGGTCGGGCGCAGTGGCTCAAGCTTGTAATCCCAGCACTTTGGGAGGCCGAGGCGGGCAGATGATGAGGTCAGGAGTTCAAGACTAGCCTGTCCAGTATGGTGAAACCCCGTCTCTACTAAAAATACAAAAATTAGCCTGGCATGGTGGCGCAGGCCTGTGGTCTCAGCTACTCGGGAGGCTGAGGCAAGAGAATCTCTTGAACTCAGGAGGCAGAGGTTGCAGTGAGCCAACATTGCATCACTGCATTCAGCCTGGGTGTCAGAGTGAGACTCCGTCTCAAAACAAAAACAAAAACAAAAACAAAAAACAGTTGAACTCTCTAGGGCACAGAGAGTTCAAGAAACCTTTCCTTTCCAAGATCACACAATTAGTAAGTGATACATGTGGGATTGGAACCCAGGCAGTCTGAGACCTGAGCATCAGCTTTTCACCGTTGTATAACAAGCTTTATATTATGTGGATTGAGACTTGATGAGTTGAGGCTAGTCTTTGTCGTGTGCCAGTCTGGGCACTGTGTGGTAGGTTTTAGCATTGTGGGCCTGGGTTTGCTTTCTGGGAGTCTGGGTGTTTTAGTGCAAGTCTGCATGTTATGGGATGAGTTTGTGTGTCTGTTGTGATGTGACACTGTGCATTTAGGAGAGTTTTGTGTTTAAGAGGATATCTCTGCATGGTAGTACTTATCTAGGTATTACAGATACCTGTGTGGTGTGGAGCCTGGTCATATCTGTGGTAGCATTCTGAGGTAAGTGAGATTTGTGGGCAACTTAGGAGATGTGGAACATGTAATTCTTTATGGGATAAGCCTGAGATAAGTGTAAGACGAGTTGTGGAATGGGGGCTCTGTATTATAATGTGATGCTGCCAATCTTAGGAGCATGCATTTAGGAACATGTTTGTGACGAACAGGAGTATCCACATGTTGTGAAACAAAAATATGTGTATGATAGGATGTGTTTGTGTGATGTAGGGCATATCTATGAGGTTAGGATGTGTGTGTGTGTTATGTTGAGTGCCTGTGCTTTGTGGGGTAAGGCTAGGTACAACACACAGCCTGGCTTCCAGTCTGGGTATTGTGGGATGTGTTATGGAGCAAGCCTGTGCACAAATTTCTTACTTGTGATGTAATTCTGTGTGGCAAGTGACGTCTGGTGAGAGTTCTGGTCTGTTAAGTATGTTGGTACTATGGTAGGGTATCTCTGTGCTGTCGAGTGTTTCTAGATATTCTAGTGTATATATATGTATATATATATATATATATACATTTTTTTAGACGAAATCTCACTCTGTTACCCAGGCTAGAGTGCAATGGTGCGATCATGGCTCACTGCAACCTCTGCCTCCCCAGTTCAAGCAATTCTCCTGTCTCAGCTTCCTGAGTAGCTGGGACTATAGGTGCCCACCACCACACACAGCTAATTTTTGTACTTTTAGTAGAAATGGGGTTTCACCTTATTGATCAGGCTGGTGTCAAACTCCTGACCTCAGGTGATCCGCCGGCCTTGGCCTCCCAAAGTGCTGGGATTACAGACGTGAGCCACTGTGCCCGGCTGCGAATCTATATATTATATGGTAAGTCTTCGTGTTGTCAAATGATTCTAGGTATCTGGGGTAGGCCTTTTCGGCTTTAGTAGTAATGATAGTGATGGTTGTAATATAAATGAACAATTCTAATTGTCACTATGTGTCAGGCACTGGACTAAGCACTTAACAAACCTTAACGTATTTATTATTCACAACAACTCTTTGAAGTAGGTACTATTGTTATCTTTGTTTTACAATGGTGCAAGCTAAAGAACAAAGAAATATACTTACCCAAGGTGATACAATCAGCAACTGATGGGACCTTGATTCAAACCCAGTTAGTATGGGTCTAGAGGCCTTGCTGGGAATCATTACACAAGCTGTATTCTGTTGTTGTAGGCCAGAGGTGTAGCTCAATATCATGGTTAAACATGTCTGTCCATGGAAATCTTTACACTGTAGCGGCAATATGTGTGTTGTGTATCTGCCGACTGGGAAATGTTTATGTGCATTGTTGGTTTTGCACTGTAGAGTAAGTCTGTGTTATGATGCAATTCTGTGCATTGTGGAGGCAATCTGTGTGTTTACAGGCATAACTGTGAATCGAAGACACATCTAAGTGTGATAGATATGATTTAGTATGCTACAGAGTAAGTCTGTGCCCTGAAGGGCTTATCTGTACATTTAGGGTGAGTCTAGTGCTCAGTGGTGTTTGTGTGAGTTGTGAGGAAAGGATGTATATTGATGGGTGAATCTGTACATTTTGATGAATTTCTGTTCATGACTGGACATATCCTGTTTATAGGCAGCAGCTTGAACAGTGAAACTGGTCTATGTGCTTTGGGATAAACCTAAGAGTGACATAGCAAATAGTTTCATATATTTTGGGATACATGTTTGTATTGTATAGGCACTGTAAGAACTGTTTTTTGTGTATGAAATAAATCTGTATGGCAAATGTGTGCTCTGACATTTCTGAGCACCATGGGGTTAGAGTGTTATGCTGTGGGATGTGTTTCTATGCTGTGAGTTGCAACAGTATTGTGGGATGAGTGAGGGTATTGTGGATCACATCTGTGACTGTGCCCAAAAGGGTAGGTCTGAATACCTTAGAGAAAGATTAGGTGTCTCTACAGCACGAGTTTGTCTGTTGTGGAATAACTCTGTGGTAGAGCCAGTTTTTCCCGCTCTGATGCCAACCTGTGTATTGTGAGGTATGTCTATTGATCAGAGTGGGTCTGAGGAATTTCAGTTGTATTTTGATGATGCAGGGACACAGCATACATTGTGTGGTAACTCTGTTTTTGGGAAGGTCCAGATATTTTAGGGCAAATGAGTGTAGTCTGGAGCAAGTATTTGTATTATGTGGTGAGTATGTCTTCTGTGACATGAATTCGTGCATTGTAGAACAAGTTTGTGTGCTGTTACACAATTCTGTGCATCAAGGAGTGATATATGTTGTAAGATGTCTTGTTGCATTTCTGTGTGGCGGGGTAAGCTTGTCTGAAAGCTATAGGGAGAGTCTCTGTAGTATGGATTTAGTCTGCTTTGTGGGGTGAGTCTATGTGCTCTGGGGAGTGTCTGTGTAGTGTTGGGCAAGTCTCTGTGCTGTGGGGTCTGTGGCCTGGGGTGCTTGTCTGCACACAATGGGGTGAGTCTGTCCGTTGTGGGAGTCTTTGTGTCATGATGCGGGTCTTCAAGCTGTCTCATGAGTCTGTTCTTGCGGAAAGTCTGTTTCATTGGCAAGAGTCCCTGTGCTCTAGGATGCGTCTATGATCTGTGGTGAGAGTGTATGATGTCAGGGGAGTCTGTGTGCACTGGGGAGAGTCTGTTTGCTGTAGGAAAAAGCTGTGTGCTCTGGAGACAGTCTGTGTGCTGTGGAGTGAGTCTATTGGCCTTGAGAATGTGTCTTGTGGGGGAAGCCGTGCTCTATGGGGTAAGTCTGTAGGCTTTGTGTTTCCTAGAAAGTGTTTGTGTGATGTGGGAACAGTATGTGATGTTGGGATTGTTTGTGTGCCATAGTGGAGTCCTTATGGAGGGCAAGTCTGTGTCATGCTGGGTGCATCAGTGCACCTTAGGTGAGTCTCTGCTTTAAGGAGAATATAGGTGCCTTTGAGAGAGTCTGTTGATACAGGGAATGGGAGTGTCTGTGTGCTCTGGGGAAAGTCTTTTTGCTGTGGTGCTTGTCGGTGTGCCTTTGGGTATGTCTGTGTGCTGGAAGGCAAGTCTGTGTACTGTGACAAGAGTCTGTGAGCTGTGGGGATAAATGTGTGTTTGTGTTACCTGGCCATTGTGTGCATTACAGGGTGAGTTTGTACACTGCGGACACAAGTCTGCTTCCAGGGAAGTCTCCCTTAGTATCTACAAATAATAATAGACAACACTTACATAATGGTTACTATGTGCTGGATACTGTTCTAAACATGCTGTCATCATCCTCATTTTACATCTGAGGAAACTGAAGAGATTTAAGTAGCTGTCCTACAGTTATGCAACTAGCAAGCAGCAGAAGTCTGAAACCAGGCAGTCTGTTTCCTGTTCTCACACTGTTATGATTTCCCTCGGGGCCCTGAGGGCATCGGTGTCCTCAAGCCTTAGAATGACTTCGTGGTCACTGGTGAGCATGTAGAAAGCAGTTAATTTGGGAGGAAAGAAAGGGAGTGGCTAAAAACCTTCCAAGCTTTATTAAAAAAAAAAATTAATGCTCTATATACAATAACGATGGCAGTTTAGCTCAGAAAAATTGACGTCATGTCTGCCAAATAACTCCAGCCACTGCAGCCCTCAGGATCCCTCCCCCGGCCCCCCGCAGCCGCATTCTGCTACTGCAGTGGAGCAATTGCGCATGCCCTGGCGAGCTGCCATTGCCAGGGAAACCAGCCTCCTCATAAACAAAACACAGCCTAATGCGGCAAGTCAGGAAACTACTGGGACTGAGGCTGTGAACCAAAGGAACCCCTTGCAATAACCGCTGGCTAGGCAGCCTCCCACTCACGTGCCATCCTCCACCCCCACCCCTTTTTTTTCCAGAATCAGTAAAGCTAGAGGCCCGGGCCAGAAGTCAATAGAGAAAGAAAGCTTCGTTGGGGGCGAGAGAAAGCGTTGGTAATGGGTAGCAAGTGATTTTACTTGTCAGATCTCTCTGGGCAATATTTAACCCATCTCCTACACTAAAAAACTCCTTGCTTTATAGCTCGAGCCTTACATCTGCAGTGAAAAGAGGTGGACCACTGGGGTGTGTCCCTATCTAGAAGAGATAGTGGCAGTGGTAGTATATGAATTAGGACTCACCCTAGCTTCTTTAAATCCCTACATCAGTCTACTGTCAGCAACAGGCTGGCAAACATTATTTACTTCAACTCCTCACACATTTCTTCTATTTCCCTCTTATATCATTCTAGAAAATTCCAGAAACTGAGTCCAGGAAACTTAACTCTTTGAGTATCTAAGGAGGAAAAAAAAAAGAGGTTGAAGGAGAAACTTTAACCCTGGGGGCATTTTGTAAACATACAATTGGCATATCAGGTGCCCAAGAGGAATAGCACACCTCAAACAGTGGTTTCATATATTTGGATTCCTTAATTTTAATTTGTATCAAGCATGTGACAAACATATTTAAAATGAAAAAACAAAATGCTGTTTAAAAACCACTTCCCTAATCTGCATGTGCCTAGGATTTTTGAAAGACACAAGCACAAATATGGTGCTCTAGTATGCTGTCAGAAGCTGCAAGAAGGTAGGAGTACTATTGCGAAATGTAACCATCTTGGGTAAAGAAAATGGCCGACCTGTGTAAAGCTACACCCTATCTAATGGAAGAACAGTTGTGGCGTTGGATTTTTCAATAAGTGATGCTGAAACAATTGGTGACCTATTAGAGGAAAACATATTAATTCCTTCCGTATATCATAAATCAAAATGAATTATAGGAGGATTAAAGAGTTAACTGCAAAAAATGAAGCAATTAAATAATTAGGAAAAATACAGGTGAATACACTAATCAAAGGAAAGAAAAAAAATCACAACACTTAAAATGGTCAGATATGGAAATCTAACATGTTAAACTATAACATATTAAAAAATCACAACTACAAATGATAAAAATCAATAGGTAAACAATGGCTAGAAAATAATATTTCTACCACATATAATAAATGAACTGGGTGAGAGGTGTTTTGAAGAAGAAACCTTAAACTGGTTCATACCATTTGATCCAGGAATTCCACGTCTACGAATTTATCCTAGGGGGGAGAAAACCAGAAAAGCACACAGATATTTATATGGAAAGATATTCCTTCAGTTATTTATAACAGCAAAAATAATGCAAATATAAACATTCAATAATCAGACATTTAGTGGGACATCTAAACTATAGAAAATTATACATCCACATAATATCACATTCTTGTGGAATATTTTAAAATATGGAGAATTCCTCCCAATATATATTTAATGGATAAAACAGGCTAAAAATTGTATGTACATGTGATCTTCATTTTGTATAATATATCTATTTCTATGCATTTATTTGCATATATTCAGAGTAAAGAGATTGACAGTAATTAGATTAGTAGTGATTATATCTAAGTTATGGGATTGTGGGTAATTTTTATAGTCATCTTTAAATTATTCAAAATTTTCTACAAGAACTATGATATTTTTATAATAAAGGGGAAAGCATCATTTTTAAACGTTTTATTAAGTGTATAAAAACACATGAAGCACAGAGAGGAAGGTGTAGACTCAAAGACAAAATACCAATATACACCAGTAGAGGATCATGCAAAATGAACTCATTATGTACTACAGAAAGAGTATAGCATTATTTGCATGCCAGTATGTATAGAATTTCTTATACAAGATGGAGTCCTGGCAAATTTTCTTCGCCACACCAGAGAATGGTCACATGTCCCTGGATGCGTCAGTCACTCTCTTTGCCGCAGTGCTCTGTTCAACACCCCCTCCCTTTGCCTCCGGTATGTTCTCTCCCTTTCCCTCTGCAAAACATGCTACCAGCAGACATGTTCAACTTGGGAAAATGACCCATTCTGTGGACTTTCTTTTAAGCTTTTTCATTCTTCTTTTTCCTCCTTGATTGCTGCTGCGTTGTCATCTAACTCAAAAACCAATCTACCTATCTATCTGTCATTTTTCTTTTCCTTCCATTCAAGTGTCAATCTGAATTTCAAAGAAATAAACCACCACGTCACTTTTTTTTTTCTGGCAGAAACGAACTACAAAAGCATAGACATTTTCAGAAATGTTTCAAAAACAAACATTAAAGCTTTGTTGATAAGAATCCCTGCTATCCTTCTTACATCCCTTTAAAATAAAAGAAGCACTGAGAACATTCTGTCTTTACTGTATAAATCACTATCCACAAATATAAATAAATTTTTTCCTATGAAGGCACGATCACAATATTCATTATTACTTTTTCATGATTTTTTCATCCTAAAGCCAAATTTTAATGTTTCTCATTGAGTACATGTTCATATCTCACATGAAGCAATCGATCTGAACGTTATTACAAACTGCCCCCTCCTCATTTTCTCTCTAGTACAGACATTCAGTCACACATCTTTCTTAATTCTAAAAAATGACGCATCATATCCTTTTCTCCATTGCAAAATAATATTGTTCTTATGCTCTCCCAGCACTCAGAAAATAAACCAGATTTGAGAACATCTTGAATCATAACCCATTTCATCATATCAAATCCAAATATCTTAAAGCTGAGGTACAAATCTGAAAGCAATTTTCCAATTTAGTAACTTCATCATTAAATCTTATTTTAGGAAACATCTTACAAGAATCACGAGGGGAAAGTTTCTACATTTCCTCCTAGCAACTCCATGATTTAAGAAACAAGCTTTAAACTAGAAAAATGACCAGGAAATATTTAGAATTAAATTAATCCATTCCCCAGTGCTGCTGATTAGAAGCAGATTCCTACACAGTTTTGCATTATTCTACTCCATCAAAACACATCACTTGCTTAGAAATCTTAGTCTGGTTATCTATTTTACAAAATATTTCTCAGCTACTTACCCGTGGCATGCAGTCTTTCCACCAGCTCTGAGGCTGTCGCACTGAAGGAGTGGGGGCAAACAGCAGCGCAACAGCCACTTGGAAATGAGATGTGCTCTGAAAAAGGGATTATCCCTATGGAAAGAAATGAAATGCCTTGAGATTATTCTCAAGAATTCTCCAAAAATATGAAATCATACTAAACATTATATGCTAAAATGTGCATGCTCATCAAAGGGCAGATTTTAATAGCTAAACCTCTAATCCAAAGCATACTTAAGTTGCCTTGATTTCCAGAGGAACCCCTACAAGACTATGAGCTTTTGGCTCTCCCGTCTCCTAGCAACAGTCTCATTAACTTTTTTTTTTTTCCTGCAGTGGTCCTACTAGGCATCAGAGAACACTGACAAGGTCTAGTCTTTGAGGATGAACATTACCATTTTGTTGTTCAATATGCGTTTTCCCCCAGGCAAGTAATAAGGAAAGTTAGAAATTCAAAGTCTCCAGAAGAAGATTTCTGATTCAAATGACATTCCACAGTGAAAAGCAGAAATTGTTCTGGTCCCCTCACTTGGTACAATGCTGCCGCTAGAACCCTGTTCTAATATAAATGTGCTCAATGCTACCAAACTATACAGTTAAAATAAAGTGGAAATTTTTTGTTACATAATTTTTCCTACAATAAAAAGGAGAGGAAGAACGATTCATTCCCCCCCGGCAAATACATGTTGTACAACAAAATGAAATATTACCACAGTCAAAATATGGTGCTGGGAACAGGGATTATAAAAGTGAATAAAAAATAGTCCATCCTCTCTCCAAAAATTCATAATGTGATAATATGCACATGCTGCAAAATAGAAGTATTTTGTCAAAGTTATTCTTTTTTCATCAGTTTTGGGTAACATTATCATTAGAATTGATGCATAATCTGCCCAAAAATACTGGACTCCCAATGGGTAAGGAAATACATATTTAATTTTAAAATATGTAAACATATATTCATATATCTCAACTGATCATGCACACTTTACAGTGTAGCTTTTATAAAATGTTCACTTCTATTTTCACAAATTTATTCATGTCAGAACAACTTGACAACATTACATCATTACATAAACTAATTTTAAAACTAATTTAATTTTTGCCAGGTAGGAAATATGTGGCAATCCAGTCCTATACCTTATAATAAAAAAGATCAGTACCTTTATTATGTATTTATTATGGGTCAGGCACTTTTCTACGTACCAAGTGATGAACCTGAAAAGATTGTTATCATCACATTGCACAGCTGAAGAAACTGAAGAGATTAAGTAACAGAACAAGGACACCAACCTTTCTTTTCTAAAGCTCAAGCTCCTCATCATGACCTCATTGAATCTCAAACATCAGAGTTCTTATAAATCACCTGGAGTGTTAATTTTTTTAAATGAGGACTAAAGGGACTTATTCCCAAGTATTCTGTTTTAGCAGGCTAGGGGCAAGCACAGAAATCTGTATTTTTTTAACAAACGTCATCATTTGATTCTGACCAGAAAACCTAAATATAATCTTTGTTATTGGTAATGTTACTGGAGAAGTAAATTCTAAAACTATCTCTCTCTCTTGCTCTCTCTCTCTCTCTCTCTCTCTCTCACACACACACACACACACACACACACACACACCCCACATGCGTATATACTGCATGGTTAGAACAGATGATTAAATGAATTTTTCTTTGGAACCAGAGTTCTCACTATAGAAGAAAGGAGATAGAAATATGAATCTGAGAAAGTTAAGAGAATCCTGAAGAAACCTGTGGTAATGAATTCAAATTGGAAGTTTTAGTATGAACTCATGATTTCCTAAGACAAACCTTGCTAGGTCTGTCCACAGAAAGGAGGTAATGACACCCCAGTAGCAATTAATATGACACACCAGCAGCAATGAGTACATCTAATGCCCAGGTATTAGTTTCTAAATACAGTTACCTACTAAAAGAAACCAAGATTTATTGGAAAAATAGCTGACGCTATATATGGGCAGATAAAATACAAGTGAGCTTGAAGTATCTTGTATGATAAAGCCAAAAAGCACTTGAAGACTGATGAGAACATATCAAAGTGACACAGGAGATGGCTTGAAAGGGTTCTCACTGGCGACGTCTGCTACGATTTTAACATCAAAAGGAATAATGATGGTTATTGACTGTAAAACCTAGAATAGAAAGAATCCATGAGCCCATAGTGATATAGTAAAAAAAGAAAAAGAGCTAATGGAGAGGGAAACTGCTTTTTTTCTAAAAAATAACACTTTGTATATTTGTAAAGAATGACAGAATCTGTCACTGACCATTTAGAAACCATTAGTATAGGCCAATCATGGTGGCTTATGCCTGTCATCCCAGCACTTTGGGAAAGCGAGGCAGGTGGCTTTCCTCAGGTCAGGAGTTCGAGACCAGCCTGGCCAACATGGTGAAGCCCCGTCTCTACTAAAATACAAAAATTAGCTGGGTGTGGTGGCACTCACCCATAATCCCAGCTACTTGGGAGGTTGAGGCAGGAGAATCACTTGAACCTGGGAGGCAGAGTTTGCAGTGAGCCGAGACCATGCCACTGTACTCCATTCTGGGTGATGGAACAAGACTCCATCTCAAAAAAAAAAAAAAAAAAAAAAAAAAAAAAAAAAAAAAAAAAAAAAAGGAAAGAATGAAAAAAGGAAACCATCAGTATAATAAGAGATTTAGCCAAGAGTCATCAATGCCTACCAAAACCATGAGATGAAACGTTGGGGAAGAGAATATTATCACTCCTAGGCTACTAATTAAATATAAAAAAGAAAACTCTGCATTTTCTTTCTTTTTTTGAGACAGAGTCTCGCTCTGTCACCCAGGTTGGAGTGCAGTGGTGCAGTCTCGGCACTGCAACTTCTGCCTCCCAGGTGCAAGCAATTCTCCTGCCTCAGCCTCCCAAGTATCTGGGATTACAGGCACAGGCCACCATGCCTGGCTAATCTTTGTATTTTTAGTAGAGACGGGTTTCACCATGTTGGTCAGGCTGGTGTCGAACTCCTGACCTGAGGAGATCCACCTGCCTCGGCCTACCAAAGTGCTGGGATTACAGGCATGAGCCACCACGCCCTGCCAAAAATGTACTTTTCAATGGAGAGATTTGGCATACCCCTGCCTTAACCGATTAAACTTCATGTCACAAATAATAGCACAAACTGAAATGTACCTCTTGATGTGATGAAATGGGAAGCACACATCATCTATTTAAGTACTAGCCAAAAATATTTTATCTGAAGAATCAAGCATTAAACCCAGATTGTGGAATAATCTAGAAGACAGCTGGCCCGAACCCATCAAACTGTCATTGTCGTATTTTTTTTTTTTTTTTTTTTTGAGACGGAGTTTCGCTCTTGTTGCCCAGGCTGGAGTGCAATGGCGCGATCTTGGCTCACCGCAACTTCCGCCTCCTGGGTTCAGGCAATTCTCCTGCCTCAGCCTCCCGAATAGTTGGGATTACAGGCATGCACCACCATGCCCGCTGATTTTTTGTATTTTTAGTAGAGACGGGGTTTCACCATGTTGACCAGGATGGTCTTGATCTCTTGACCTCGTGATCCACCCGCCTCGGCCTCCCAAAGTGCTGGGATTACAGGTGTGAGCCACCGCGCCCGGCCCATTGTCGTGTTTTTAAAATGTGTGTGGGGAGAAAGTGGCAGGGAAAGTATCCTACATTAATGAAGATTAAAAAGATACAACTACCAAATGCAGTATAGCAATAGGTTAATCACTGGTAAGTCTAGGTCAACTATACACAGTGGTTCACTGTGTTATTTTTAGAGCTTTTCTGTAGGCTTGAAGTATTTTAAATGAAAAAAAAAAAAAATTATTGGCCAGGCATGGTGGCTCACGCCTGTAATCCAGGCACTTTGGGAGGCTGAGGTGGGTGGATCACATAAGTCAGGAGTTCAAGACCAGCCTGGCCAACGTGATGAAATCCATCTCTGCTAAAAATACAAAAACTAGGGCTGGACGCAGTAGCTCACGCCTGTAATCCCAGCACTATGGGAGGCTGAGATGGGTGGATCAGCTGAGGTCAGGCGTTCCAGACCAGCCTGACTGATATGGTGAAACCCCGTCTCTACTAAAAAATACAAAAATTAACAGGGCGTGGTGGCAGGGGCCTGTAGTCCCAGCTACTCGGGAGGCTGAGACAGGAGAATTGCTTGTACCTGGGAGATGGAGGTTGCAGTGAGCCGAGATCATGCCACTGCACTCCAGTCTGGGCCACAGAACCCGGGAGACAGAGGTTGCAGTGAGCTGAGATTGCACCACTGCACTCCAGCCTGGGCGACAGAGTGAGACCCTGTCTCAAGAGAAAAAAAAAGAAAGAAAAAGAAATTATTAAAAGGTAAATTCAGAAAATAAAGAAGAAAATACTTTCAGAAAAAGAATTATTGCACAATAATTATAAGTTAAAATTCATATACATTTTGGAATTAATCATAGTCTAAGTTAGTGAAAGAACTTTCCATCCTGACCAATTGGAGGATGAATACAACTGGTCTTCCATATCCGCGAGTTCTGCATCTGTGAATTCAAAATTGAAAAAAAATATATTTTTAATTCATCTGTACGGGACATACATAGAATTTTTTCTGTGTCATTATTCCCTAAGTAATACAACACAGGGATACCTCATTGTATTGCATGTCACTTTATTGCACTTCGCAAATCTTGCATTTTTTTTTTTTTACAAATTTAATGTTTGTGGCAAGCCTGCATCTAGCAAGGCTATTGGTGTCATTTTTCCAACAACGTGTGCTCACTTGGTGTCTCTGTCTCATTTTGGTAGTTCTTGCTATATTTCAAAATTTTTCGTTATCATTGTATCTGTTATGATGATCTGTGATTAGTGATCTTTGATGTTACTATTATAATTATTTTGGGGCGCCATAAACTGTGCCAATATAAAAGGGGAACTTAATTGAAAAATATTGTGTGTGTTATGACTGCTCTACCACCCTGCCATTTTCCAGTCTCTCTCCCTCTCTTCTAGATTTCCTATTCCCTGACACACAGCAATAATGAAATTAGGCCAATTAATAACCCAACAATGACCTTTAAATGTTCAAGTGAACGAGTCCTCACACA